TCCATAAGCACCCTTTTCTCTCCTCCCCCTATTGCTGGGAAGCGAGTCTCGAGATGCAGTGCTCTGTTGTATGGTCGTGTCCACAGGCAAACCGCATCAGATGCCTCCGGCTTCCGCGGCAGAGCTGGGGGAACACGAAATAGCTTCCATTACACACGTTCGACATCGGCCACGCTCCTGGAAACCAATCTTGTTGCATGGCTTGATTGTTTCACAAGCATGGGTTTTGGTGAGAGACAAGATGAGGCAATCCGTAAAGTACCCAACCATCAAGAGAAAACATGGGGGCCGGGCACCACCTCGTGGTATCCTCATTTGTCGACCGAGCTTGGGTCCAAGCCAGAAACAGCCGAGGGAGGTGAGGAAAGCAGTCGAATTTTGTGATTCGCCGATATGTGATAATTATCAACCAATCATAAGACAGAAACACCCTGCTTTATGGTGAAGGGGCTTGTTCAGGAGGAAATTCCTACTCCATTTCAAAACTCCCCTGCAGAATGTCTTTCCTTACCCGCATGGAGCCCCCGACAATGGCTCCTTCCCCAATCGCTTCACGGGAAAGCACTCGGGTACTTCCTTCCCTTTCGTGATGGACCGCCGCCTAGTTACTTCCTCTTCACTAATTATTGCCGGTCCACATGGCATGGGACTACGGAAGGGACGGCGGTGTTTAGTCCATCTTTAGTCATCATCAACTGGCTTCAAGGATGCAGTCACCTCCTTGAATCCTCCTTTCTACTACATGCATAGCAAGTACCCGGCCGATGGTACATGCCTCCCCCATGAACCCTCGACGCCAGCTTCCGTCCGGATGGAAGCCCCGGCTGCAGTTGCTTCGACAAAAAAGCACATTCACACAGATGAGATGGTGTGTTGCTGACCTCCACCCCGATGCGACCGTTGGTGAAGAGGCGTCCTTCGAAACACAAGTGCTAAATGATATTTGATATCACCGGCCCGCAGCACGGCAGACATCACTTCAAGGACGAATCTGCCTCGAGCATCGATCTACCCCTACTAGGACAGAGCATGCACACTTTCTTCTTTCTTGATTACAGCAAAACTGTCCTCGAATAGGAGTGTTAAGCGGCGACTTGGACAAGTTATCAATTCGTAATCGCCTGACAGATCGCATGCAAGCCAGGATAAGAATAGATGAAAAACGACCGTCTGCGCGCAACTAAGCTCGGAATCAGCTATGGCACAGTCCAGGTACCTTGAAATCTTGGCCGTTGTGGCCCGTGTCCGACAACTCGCGGCAGCACAGACTCCCGTCAAGGCAACGATTGTCCGGGCTGTCCTACTCGACGGTTGAAAAAGTCACGAGGAATCTCTACAGGGCGACGATACCAGGGGCCAATATTCATAGGGGCGCAAATCATCTCCATTCGCAAAGTAAGCGAGCAAAACCAGCTGAAAGGGTGCATTCGCTGTCCCCGTGGCGACTATTATGCGCTGGCCGCGTTAAGTCAGCATTGCATTGGAAGCCTGGATATCTGCAGGTCAACTGGATCCTGCTGCAAGTTTGCAGGAGATCAGAGACAGGGCGACGCCCGATCGCAGCTATAGCTGCAGGACAGGCATGATTTGGGTCTGCCAGGGTGTCAATTGTGGCGAGTGCAGCAGTCCGGGCCCTGGAATCTGCACTCCGCCACAGATGAAGTCGTACTCTTGCCAAATCAGAGCGAACTGAGGCTGGTGACGTGGCAGGCGAGCCAGACGAAATCGCTAATTCTGCTTGCCAGTGGCACTGTGTTGGGTTTTACAATGCGTGTCGGTCAAGAAATATTTGCAATTGGCGAGGCGGCACAGTGATGCCTAGCGGTACAAGAACCATCAATTGACATCACCGAGGCATGCTGCAAGACTAGGGAATTTGGGCTTGCAGTCCCTCTCCGCTAGACCCGACTGGGCTCTTTTCCATCTTGAGCAGTGGATTGTCGACCTTCAGCGCAGCGACGGACATCGTTACGGTCGAGTAAATGTCGATGAACCCCGCTGCTCTGGTTGCTTCGTGCCAAGAAGAATCCCCAGGCCACCCTTGTTCTTGCTGAACTGGGATCATACGCCAATAGGAGCCGTCAACCGTAACGTAGATCAAGGGGTCGAGTTCACCGAGCCAGGGTTTTCTGAATCTAATTGGTCGCTGGAGTGAAACCACAGCGGATGCATCTTCGCTCTTTTGGCGTCCTCTAGGTAACGTGATGGCAAGATGGTGTGAAGCCATCTTGCGAAGGACGACTTTCACTTGAGCACCCCTCTCCGCCATTCCTTCTTTCCTACCTATCAACCCAATCACTCGGCGATCTAGAGTCATAGTCTTGCCGGAGGTCATCGTTGCTTCTTGTTTGACGGTGGCTCGTGGCGTTGTTGGCTCAAGATTCTATGTCTAAGCCAGGGAAGGATGAGGCGGGATTAGCGCGCTCTGCGTCCAGCCAACTATCACCTGCTCTCAGCTTCAGCAAAGGACGTCATCACTAATGTAGTCTCTTGCGTTCCATTGATGCCTTTGGCAGCGCGTTAGGACGAGTCCTAGGAAGCTGCGGGTCGACAGAAACCTGGCCCCCTCATCCGTGTCTTGCTCAGCTTGTGTCTCAATGACCACAACTCAGGATTGTTATTCGATAGTGTCTGGGCGGACATTTTTGGCTCAGGGCGGTTCCTTGCTTTTCTATTTGGCCACAAGAAGTCCGGAGAAGTCTCCAACACCGCTATCACCGTTGCCTCTACCTGTCATATGGACAGATGTCTTAACCTGGGGGGCTCCATAAGGGGGGCCTCAATTCGTTATCTTCTGTCCTCTCAGTATATAGTTGCACGGAAGGCTTATGTTAGGCAAATGAGGATGGATCTGGAAGGTTCCCACTTGAGCGAAGACCATGATTTAAGGAACGAATAGCCTCGCCTTATTCCTCATTGCCACTTCAGCTTACTACATTGACTTGGTTCCGCTTCTCCTCTAACAACCTCTGGCGATCCGCTACCACATATGGAGCTGCACCATACGCGAGACCAAAGCTGACGAGATTTGCCCTTTACTCACCAGAGTCCGGGATTCCCTCTACAGTACAAGCTCCCGGCGCGTCCATGTGGCAGTCCTGAGGGTGACCAAAGTATATCCGAGTATCCACCACAGGACACTTCTCTCTGATGGTCCACTATGGAGCGACCCGCGAGGGAGCAGCCGAATTCCCTTGGAAGATCCACAAGGAGCACCCTGAACTCTATAACGAGTCGTCATATCAAGACTCGGGATTCCTAATGGATGAGTGGGGCTCTCATAGCCATTCACGAAGGACACTTCAGGGACAGCGTTGCCCACCATCTCAACATCTTCATCGGATGACGCGGATAACAAAGGCCATAACCTCTTTAATCTTGTGGCACTGGGCTAAGAGTAAGGATTAGCCTCCAACCCAATGTCGTAAAAAAGACTTGGTATTGTACCTGGCATCATCTTTTCTTTGAACGGATCCTGGAATCAATCCATTCTTCGATGGCTTTGCATTCCAAGGTATGGTCCTAACTTCACGAAACAGCCACCAACTCACTGATGTTTCTGAAGTTGACATGACATTAAGATTTGCCGGGATTCTAGAAGATTCCTAGGGCTCCCTGACTTCATAGACTCGACAACGTGGTTTCCATGTCTTGTGGCGTTGGGGAGATTAACCCACACCCATCCCATTGCACAGACAACGCCTCTCGCCGGTTCTTACCCTCTCTCAATTTGGAAGTCTTCGGGCATGAACATGATTCTGAACTTTTATTAAAGACTGTCGATCATCATGTGAACACGGTGCTTCATTTCAACTTGAAACTTGGTGATGTGACGAAGGCTGCAGGAAAAGCTGGCCTGCTTGTGACGAGGCTAGCCCCCAGCCTTATTGGCCGTACAGAGTCAAGGGATCTTCAGCTCTGCGATTTCCATGATTTCGGACGGCCGCCTCATCTTAAAATCGGTGCTAATTTTGTGTGACATATCCTGTCTGTTCTATAGCGAATAGCGAACGAGTTCTCCCATGATCTCCATGAACCAGAAACAAGACCTGGTCTTCTTACCTAGGCCTCGCGTGGCAGCCTCGATTGACGGCAAACAGGGTCGCAACCCTTGTTCCCACGTGTGCACACCCGGGCAATCTCATCCAAAGGAAGGGCATCTGTCGGAGATTTCACGGGATAGGATATTCATACCGGGCTCAGGCGGCATGTGCAAATGAACTAGCTACTTGCTCCTTAAGGTTCTAATAGCATAGACCTACGCTCGTATCATCATTTGAGCTCATCAACTCATCCTCTCGGCTTATTTTGATGTTTCCATGAGCGCATCGAATCTGGGCTAGATGTGGCTGTTTACTGTGGTAGCAGCACCTCCGTAATCTGCTGTTCCCTGGATAACACAGTCATATGGTGTAATTATGTGGCCATTAGACCGCTACACATGTACTCTTGATAACAAAAAAATAATCACTGCTAGCAAGCTCGACAATGCCTTGAACTGAACATCTGAGCCCACCTGTCCATCACCTCCGGCTCAGGACCGGGGCCATCTGCCCAATGTCTGCAATGCTTTCATATGTTTAGGTTCCGAAAGTGGTGTGTTCCTGGAATTCCTTTTGTTTTGTACAAGGTGGCCAGGCCTGTATCGACTAAAGTCGAAAGTTGTGATAGTGACAGTGACGCTATTGCTCCAGATGAACCAAGGGTATACAGGTTCAGAGTTATAGAGATCATTCAGGACATCATAGCCCCATCATCGTGGCAAGTGAGTGATCGAAAAGAAAGATATTGACTAGCAGAAAAACTCGGATTCGAGACACTCAATACGCACTTCGCGATTTGTAGATATACCAGCAGCCAATGGGGGTATTCTTCATTGCCTTCTTTCTAGCCTCTGCCAATTTTCATCATAATGAAACCCTGAACGCCCTATGAAAAGCCCCTTTCGATCCTCATCATGACGGAAACTAGTGTTACAGTGGCTCGCATGTCGAGCTCGCTCAAGCACCACCAAAGCGCTTTGCCCTGGCCTCGGCCTTCCTCTTTTCCTCCGGGTCCTGTAGGATGCTCTGTCTCGGCGCGCCGCCCCCCTGAGTGCCGCGCTGCTGGTCGCGAGGAGCACCTCCGCCCCGTCCGCCGCGATGCTGACCATCTCGTCTGCCGCCGTCCTGTGTGGCGCGCTTGCCACCGCCCTCGCCCTCATCACCACGGTCACGGCCGCGCTTGGGCCGGCGCTCCGGCAGCGCCGAGTCGAGGCCCTTGACGATGGTCGCCGCCTCGTCGACACCGAAGCGCTTTGCGCGCTCGGCCTTCTTCGCTTCCTCCGACGACTCCTCGACGACGATGCCGAACCGCTTCGCGCGCGCCTCGCGCTTCTTGGCTTCCTCGTCGGCGGAGCTGGCAGCTAGGCCGATGGCGAACGTGCTGGGCTCCTCAGCCGGCTTCTCAGCCTCACCTTCCTTGGTCCCAGGGACGTCGGTGGCCTCGGGCGCTTTAGCATCGGCTGCGGCAGGTTGGGGGGCATCCTTTGCGGGCTCGGCAGCAGCTGGCGCTGGCTTCGCTGGCGCGGGAGCCTTCTTTGTCTCGGCGGGCTTATTGGGCTCTTCCGTCTTCGCGGGGGCAGGCGCGCTGGCCTTAGCAGCGTCGTCCTCGTCATCCCAGTCGATCTCATCTTCTGCAGCGCCTGCGATGCGATATCTGGTCAGCGCATTGGTTCCGCCATTGAAGTAATCACGTACGAGGCTGTCGCAATGTGCGATGCGCTGGTTTGCGCCTGCTTTGAAAGCAGCCGTGCAGAGAGAATGGAATCATAGTAGATAGATCACAACATACCTGGAGCTTTAGCCGGCTCAGCCGTCTCAGTGTCGTTTTCCTGCAGGCGCGCGATCAAGTCGGCCTTGTTGCCGGATTGCGTGAGCCCTCGTTCGCCCAGGAGCTTCTTGAGCTCGGGCACCTTCATTGACGCGTAGTCGGCCATTTTAGTGCTTGTTTGAATGTCAAGATGTTGTATTCTCGCGCCGCTGTCAGTCCTTGAGGTCGAGAGATGTTTTTTCTGAGCAGAGAGACGGATGGTGGGAGAGTTGTCAAGGTTGAGAGGAAAGATTGTCTCTCACAGGGCTCATGGCATTGAAGCTAACCCTGGCACAATTACAATGCGGCGTGATAATTGGAAGGTGAATATGTGGTATAATTGCATAATACTACTGGCCAAGAGCCATTGTTACTCCACTAATAGCGGTTTCGTTACGTCAACATTAATGGAGAACCATATATACACACACAACAATAGCCCAATGCAATAGCACATTCTCAATGAAAGCAGGTGCTGGATTAATTCAAGAGACATACCAGAGAAGCCGCCAACAGATAATCTATATCAGTGCAGTATCAATAGGGAATTGTACACAGGTGTTTAAATTCTATCACAACCTGCTTCTGCACATGAGACTCATCAAAGGGACACGGAATAATTATACCTCTCACATTTGCTATAGACTACAAGTCTCTATACATATAAAATACAACGCTGGCCATTCCACCGGAGAAATCTCGAAAAAGTGATCATCAGCCCTTGATGATTACGTCCGTTTCCAGATATCCTTTCTCCCTACGCCCTGTGCCTGTCTAAATGCCGATAGCCTGTATGTAGAGAGAGAAAGAGAGCCGTAAAGCCATGTCGCGTATCGACAAAAGGAAAAGAAAAGGATTATAAAGGTGGAGAGAGATGGAAGGCAAAGCTCTTCATGACGATATGTCCTCCGACGCCATTTCTTACGCAATGAAAAGCTCATAATCTAGAGGTTGTTTGAGTTGATCAGATAGTAAAGGGATTGAAGGAGACTTCCTGCGCAACCAGGCCGAAGATCCAGTTGGCTTCGGCGGCGCTGCTGCACTGGAAGCACCACTTCTTCACGGAACCGCTCAGGCCGCCCTTGGCCGGGACGACGCCCACATTGTTCTGCTCATCGCGGAGATCCTCCCAAACCTGAAGGATGATGCCGCGGGCGCCGAGTTTACTAAAGCATCCACTGCCGAGGACAACATCCAACACGATCAAGGGTTTCTCGCTCTCTTTCTTGGGGATGCTCGTCACGATCACGCGCTTTTCCATGCCATGGTATACCCGCAGCTCCTGTCGCATGCCTGGAGGCGGCCGTGTGATTTGCAAGTAGCAGTTGCCGTGGTCTTCCCACTTCGTAGGCGAGACCAAAAGATGGCAACGGATCTTGAGATTATCGGAGCCAAGGACTCTGGTACGACTGGTCTCCGCTATGCTTACGGATGGTGAACGAGGTGGTGTGCCGCCTCCAGCCGATGAAGAGCCACTTGTGTAGAGAGATCCGCCACCACTGCCAGAACCTGCACGGCTGTGTCGGTCGACAGAAGACTTGTCGATATTGAAGGAGGAGTTTGCTCCGCCAGTCAGACGCTTAAGCAAGCTTGGTGCAGATACACTAGACGAGCTGCCTTGCGACTGAGATGGAGCACGAGTCGACGCCCGATAACTATTCCGGCGGCCGAACCAGCTCCGTCTACGGCTGCTGCTGCTCTGCCCGTCTGCATCCTGTTGAACTTGTTGTTGGCCGAAAGAAAGAATACGAGCTTCTTCCTCTAAAGCTTTGTATTTGGCATTCTCAAGCCGGGATTTGTGGAAAGCAAAGTAAAGTGCCTTGCTCTCAGCAACAGTGGGAGATCGAAAGCGGAAGATTGTGCCGTCGATATTGCTCAACTTGGAGTAGGAACGGACAGGAGAGCGGACCTCAAGGTCAAGGAAGTTACTGGCCCGGAGCATAACCAGGGGAGTGAGATCAAGAGCAATGAGAGGGCGAACGGCTCCAGCATCCACGTCGGCGTTGCCAAGCTCTGAGGCACCTGATGACTGCAGCGCGCCTCGCTTTCCGGAGAGAATAGCATTGAGTGGGTGAGCTTCGACAAGACCGGCCCAGAGAACGACAGAGCAGGCTTCATGCCATAGTTCCTTCCACTGACCCTTCTTATTTGACCAGTACGAGACGGAAGCAATGGCCTTGAAAGAGAATTCGGGCTCATCTTGCTTCAGGCCTGATACACCAGCCTGAGAAGCAGAGTTTGATGGGGTAAGACTGTTGTCTGAGACCACAGACTCAATGGCAGATTCTGCAGGGGGCTTGATGCTGATAGCCGGCATCGTGTCAGGTACATCGACTTCGTCGAGCTCGTCTGAGGATGATTCAGAATCAGATGAGTAGCTATCAGATTCTGATGATGAAGAAGAGACATCGGAGGGATGATACTCGTGTTTCAATGGAGAGGAAGTCCGACGCTTGACTCGAGCAGCCTGTAAATCAACTGGTGGCGAAGAGGAAGCCGGTTTCTTCGGGCTCAAAGTTCGATGAACCGGAGGCGGGGGTGCTCCATCCTCGCGGACAGGGGTAGTCTTTGGTGGTGACTTCGTGAGCTTCACTGGATCAGGTCGCGCCTGTGCCTTCTTCTGGCTCTCTGGAGAGAGATGGCGCTGAGCATCACGAAGATACGACTCTTGAGTTGGTGTCTTGCTGGGAGAAGGGCTTCGGCCCGGGCTGGATGGACTAGAAATAGGTGTAGAAGCATTGGCAGCAGGTCGCGGCCGGTAGCGACTTGGAGTTGCCATCTTAGGCCTCTCTTCAGAGGGACTTGAAGTTGGAGGAGAAGCTAGCGAGGCTGGAGGTGCTTTGCGAAGCTTCCGCTCACCAAGGGGTGTGTCAATGTCCACGACCTTTGGCGAAGAAGAGGAAGTTGGCCGTGAGTGTGATGCAGGTCGAGGAGAAGTAGGAGGAATTGGGGTTGTAGCTAAGATATCGAGCCAATCCGTGACTTGCTCGTCATTATCGGAAGTGAGAGAAAGTAGCTCGTACCATTCCAAGCTGTTATGTCGTCCTCGAACCATGACAACCAGAGTTCCGAAGTCATCACCTTTGCGAGCCGACATGGCTGAAGCCGGGATGGGAGGGAAAAGAAGGCTAATGCGGCCGTTACCGGTCTCGCGTATGAGCACATCTCCATGGTCTGAAGGGTCTTCGACTTTGTCTCGGAAAATGAGCTCGACCTGACACTCGAGCCGTTGTCCATTCGAGTGCACAAGGTCAAGGGAGAAGCTATCCTTTGCGTTGACCTGTCGAGAGGGATCAATGAGCACCCCATCCATTGGCCTTAGGGTTCTGAGGTCAGAGCACCCAGTCGTGTCAGTATTGGCTGCATCCTCATCTGTCTTCCGAGCAGTCTCTTCTTTGTGTCTGCGCCGGGCTTTCTCTTGAAGAGCCTCAAATTTGGCAATAGCCTTGTCAAGATCCGCTCGTGCTATGCCAAGGGTTTTGGCGCCCTATTAAATATTAGAGACTGTTCAAAGAAACAGTAGAAGGTCCTGGCTTACCTTGAGGAGCTTGTGCATCCATTTGATCCTGACAAGGGGCCGCTTGAGAAGGTGAGCAACATCGACACGCTCACCATTCTCATCCAGGACATCTCCATCCTCGTTTCGATCCATGGCGTTGATCAAAGAGTCTTCATCGTCTGGACGACCAGAGGGAGCCAAGTTGACAATCAGGCCTTGAAAACCCAGACGCCAGACGTCAAGGTAGTGGTCATAAAGAGGGTAAACACTGTCCAGCCAGGCAAGAAGATGGTGGACATCATTCAGGGGGACCCGCTTGTGCGAATTTTTAAGCCTCTCCAAGGCAACGCCCATATTTACCACAGCCTTGCCCATGATGTCTACCTTATTATCACCAACAGTGGGTCCGAAGAGGTCAGTAGTGGAAGCATTATTGTGAACCACTTGGGTAAGCAGGACAGGGACAACACCATCAACCAAGGTCTTCAATTCCCTTTGATAGAAGTGCTCATCATCTGCAAATTCTCTCAAAAGGTCATCAAGAGTTGCATTCTCGAGTTTACTCGTCTTTCTTCGAAGATTGCGAGTTGATTTTATGCTCTTAGCGCGAGCTGGGACATCAGCATTGTCTGGCAGAGACAGAACGGAAACGAGGTCGGAATGCTTGGTTAATCTTCGCTTCAATCCTGATTTCTGGCTCTTTTGACGCGACAGATCGGTGGACCTAGTAAGTGCCGTTGTCTGCGTGATGGTCGTCTGGGATAGTGTTGACATGGTCTCAGAGTCATGAGTGCTGAAGGAATCCCCTGATACGATTGTCGACAGCTCATGCTGACCATTGGTGGGCGGCTTTCGCCTTGGTAGCGCGCCCGTCATGAAAGGGCCCTCAGTGCTAGCGTCAGTTGATGTAACCGTTGAAAGTGTCTCCGGAGACGGAGATCTTCGTCGCGATCCAGAAGAGCGACGGCGCGTATTTCCCCGGGAAGACTCGTCATCATAGTCATCTTCAGCGCCTTTGTCGTCTTCGACGCTGGGATACGTCATGGGAGGAAGCTTATGGCCGCTTGACTCGCCGCGGAAAACATCCTTGAGCGCTTCACGCAAGGGTTTCTTGCCGCCAGACTTGAAGGGAGACGAGCCGCTTCTAGTTGCTCGGCTTCTCTTCAGACCGCCTGATTTAGGAGTTGTGGGCGACTCCTTCTTTGGCGTTTCTTCTTTGGTCTCTTGAACCTTGGGATCAGCATTCTCCTGGTCTTCAAGCTCTTCAACTTCAGCAGGGGCTGGTGCGGGAGCCTCCTTCTGTCGAACTTCCGACGAGGACCGCCGTCTCACATCTTTCTCCCATTCTTTCTCGATCGACTTCCTCTTCGGTGTAGTCTTCTCCACAAAGGGGTCGACTGTGCCGTTCAGCCAACTCTCAATGCTTGGCGGCTGGTTCACAACTGGTTTTGGCGGCTCTGCCACTCTATCATGGATGATCTCTTTAGCGCCAGTAACAACTTTTTTGAAGACCTTGGGCACGGCTTTGAAGCTATTATTCCTCTGTGCCTTCGGCCGTTTGATGAAGTGATGATCAGCGCCGAGGGGCAGGTCGAGTTCACTGAAAGCAGAGTTTCCAAAGGGGATCTCAGCCAGCGATTTTGCGGGAGCACTAGACGGTTCATCAGACAGCTTCGAGCCGGACTCATCTGACCAAGACTGGCTGTCCGAGACATTCTCTGTCTGTTCTGTTTGTGTTTCGGTGAAGCTTGGTGCAGTGGCACCACGCCTCATCTTGGCCTTGTGCCGCGACCTCGACTTCCTCGTAGGAGTCTCAGGTCCCGATTCTGGCTCTTCGATGACTTCGATTCGTGTTGATGGGGACTGATCTCTCCTGGTGCTGGGAACGCGGGTGCTCCGCTCCCCGGATGTCCTCCTCGTTGAGGTCGGGCGTACTGTAATCTCGTCCACCGAGACTTTCCTACTTGGACGGACTCTAATTCCATCATCGGGCAGAGGTGTAGGTTTTAGTGGCTTCACGCGAATACCGTCATCAAAAGTGTCTTTCTTCCTTTGGGGCGTGATTCGGATGCCATCGTCGCCGCCATCTGGTTTCCTCGGCTTCATGGGCCGCACACGGATGCCATCATCGCCGGTTCTCGCACTGCTGCTAGCCCGCTCGCTCTGAGTCCGGCCACTCGCTCCATCTTCTTCCACCTCTACAGTGTCACCGCTCTTTGTGGAGTATTTTCGTGTTTTCGGAGGCGCCGACTTTGGCGTCTCGGGGACTTCCACTCTTGTGGCCCAGTCCTTGATCTTGTTCTGTATAGACGGATTTTGGGCCGTTTTCTGTAGGAAATCCTTCGGTATCGGGGAAGGACTCGCTTCTGGTTTTGTTTTGACCCTTGGCGGACTCTTTCCCTTCCGGCCCTTCATCCAATGCTCATCACTAATGATTCTCCTTTTAGGAGGACCACGTAGTCTTGGGTCCTTCGGAATGGCCTCCATCCCTCCCTCATCATCATTCGTCTCCATCTCCCGGTCAATCTCCGCTGATCTATCCGGGGAGGGCTTCTTCTTTGTTTTCTGTCGCGACTTGATCCGCACACGATCCTCCTCCGTCACGCTCTCGGCATCAACCTGCACCAGGATCTCCGTGGGTTCGCTGGCCGCCTCGTCGGGGTCGCCCCTCACCATGGCGGCGGCATTCGAGCGTTGCCAGGCCTTGACGCGCGCCTGCACGCCGCCCGGCTGCTGGATCTTGCGCACCGACTCCTGGCGCATCTGTTGGTTGACCTCGGCCTTGACGGCCGCGGCGCCGACGCTCTTCCTCCGCGCGGCCGCCACCCTTGCTGGCGACGGCCGGCCCAGCAGGAAGTCGCTGAGGAGGGTGGGCTCTGGTTTCTTCGAGGCGGAGGCCTTGCGCGCGTGGCCCGGTCCAGTTCCGGGTCCGGCTCCCACGCCTGCTCCTGCGGGCGCGCTCTTGGGCGTCAGGCCAGCGGAGGCCTTACGGTTGGGCGGCGTTGCGAAGCCGCCCCCATCTCGTTGTTTTGCGGCGGCAGAAGCCCGGCGTGCGGCGGTGGCAGCAGCAGCAGGACTGGATGACGACGGGTCGGGATCGTCGGGTGAGGGTGTTGGCGGCGGCATGGTCTGGAGGTCGCGGTAAGGTTAGCTGCATGGCTCTGCATTCCAGTGACCTGTTGAAGGCAGCTAAGCTCTCTGGCCGGCTGTCACTGCACTGCTGCTGGGGCTTGGAGACACGAAGGCATTGGAATGGAGTTCGAGACCAACACGACCCTTGCCGGCTGGACCCGAGTCCTGGGGAGCTGATCGACAACTTTGATCGGTCGGTTTGGCGATCAATGTTTTGCAGCAGCAGAGCACGCACAGGGCACAGGGCAACAGATGATGGGCAAGAGTAATACACACCTAGGTAAGCAGCCTCATGCCGCCATCAACGTTAGAAGCCGCGCAACAGGCTAGGGTACGGAAGTAGTCGTCGGAATGTTGACGAGGAGTCGATGCCATGCACTTTGCTGCAGCATGAGGCTCTGTCCTGTGTCTGGGCCAAAGAGGAAAGAAGCGATGGTGGTCGGTCGCCTCGACGGGCCTCTTCGATCGTCACTCCAATACTCGCTCAGATCGGAAAGGTCAACTAGCCGTCGATGACGAGGCAAAGAAACGAATGGCTGCTTCTTCTACTACGGGAGATACATCCATACACACATAACGCAGTCTGTTTCTTAGCGTAGGCGGGCATGCAGGAAATCAATCGTCGATCGAGACGAGTCGAGTCGAGTCGAGTCGCTGAAGAGGGCCGTTGCTTGTGGGTGCTTGTGAGGAACTCAGGTGGTAGCACCATAGCAGCACCTCCAGCTCGAATAACACAGCGATTTGTCCAATGGGAGGCCGGGGAGCTCCAGACATAAACAAAAGGTGCGGGCCACTCCAAGCCCCGTCTCAGTGGGAACAGGGTTGGCTGCACGCTAAGCTCCCTGTGGCTTGGCCAATAAGCGGGCCCTCAGCAACACCCGTGGGGCCTATAGCCCGCAGTCTTGCGCTGTGCAAGGTTAAGGTTAGTGGGGCGCCAGCGGACTCGACGCTGCAAAGAATGGTCCGGCCCAGCTGAGAAGCCTGTTGTTGCTGGCTTGTTGTTATTCTTAACAGCATTCACTTCGTCATTGTTTCTTACAGGGCAAAAGACATGTGAGAGGGATGCAAATTGCAGACTCTTGTCATGATGTTTCTCTTATATATATTTGACTCTACACACACTGCTACAGCTTCTGGAATTGAGAGCCAGCTTCAGGCGCTCAACTGAGACCTCAGCGCAGATACGAAAAGATCGCTGCTCTTGCAAACCGGAAAAGCAGCGCCGACAACTGGTTTGCCTGCAGAGCTACCACTGGCTGTGGGAGGCTGCCTTGGTTTTGTTTTGATAGCAGCTCTGTGCTATTGCTTTCGGCTGACATCACGGGCGGTAATGGTGGCTTCAATGCAGAGTCCAATACCGTGCCGCGGGGCATATTCCCTCAAAAACCTGATGTTGTCCTATATCTATCTCTCTTAAGTCTCCTTATCCTATATCCAACGCTCTTAAGTCTCCTTATCTCAGGGTAACCCACCCGGTCTACCCACCCGATCGAGCATCGCGGCCTCTTCGATGAGGTGCTAGGATGCCCCGAACACATCGGCAACTACCGGCCCCGGGTTCTGAATAAGACCACTTCGCCCGAGTCGCCCAGATCAGGGTTACACGAAAAGTGCCGCCGAGTGGCCCAGACTGAATGTAAGAGTGAATGGGCTTCTACCACCTGGTTCGGCTATTATCATTCCCATGTTCTGGGAGATATCGTCTCTCCCTTTTCCTCACATCCTCATCCCTTCTTGTCAACATCGGACCTGTAGCCAGTAATGATCTGCACAGGTGGGTTCAGCTCGGCGCTGCAGATGCATCCTGATGGCAGCGGGCCATCCACCACGCTGCCCTCCCTCGGGCGCCACAATTGCCGAATCGGTACGGTGTGCGGGCCCGTCTTGTCCTTGTCACTGACACCCCGGAGGAGCCCAGGGTTAGCATGCTGATGTTTCTCTGACACTTCTTCCGATAGTGCTGATATCCACGACGGGCGTTCCCACGAGTGACGAGCCGAAAGGAGCCCGTCCGTAACCTAGAATAGTGACATCCACGGCCGAACAGAAGATGATGGTCTGTTTATTTCTTAGGGAAGCTCACGCACCTGTCATCGATATGACATGTATCTCCTCCTACTTACACTTTCCTCTCCACACCACCCACCATTGTCCCTACTCTTATCGCAAATGGACGCGATACGAAGCCATGGGATCAGGGCATCAGTCAGCCTGTGCCACCAGGCTGACGTGCACCGTCTCTTTGGGATTGTGGGGGTAAGCTTACCAACAGTACGGATGAACGACCACATGCGGCACTTGAAGGAGGTTCATTCAGGGCACTGGGCTGCATATGCTTCTGCTTCACATCACGCGTGCAAGCCAATGATGTGCAATTTGTTATGTGATTAAATTTCCTATCAATCTGGTTGTGTGCTGTAGATTCCACTCCCAGAGCGCGCGAGCTGCCAGTCTAAATCCACCCAGTTCTCAATGCAGCCAGAACCCCAAAGTAGCCCAGATAACCAGACCCGGTATCAAAACGATATCAAGCACGATTCAAATGCAGTCCTGTGACGCCCATCCGTATGCTCCCCTCCAGATGCAATGACTCAAGGAAATGTAGAAACAGTAGATACTAGTAATTATGATGGGATGAAACCCCCTCGAGATATGCACCTATGCAGTCCATCCTGTTCTCATTCAAGGGATCTCCTCGCGCACAGGGAACGCAAAGCGTACCCTCTTCTTCGGCTTCGCAGCCGGGATATCTATCGGCTTGGTGTTGCTTCCCATCTCGTCCGCAGCAACGCTGCTGCCCACATCGCTCAGCAGTTCCTCCTCCTGCTCTTCCTCGATAGACCAGACATCAGGGCTAGGCTCGCGCCACGCGTGTGGAGATTGCCTAGACGACCAGCTGCGGGTGCGACGCCCGAGACCCGGGCGGGCTACCGGGCGGCCCCGGGAAGCAGACGGCTTCGGGACGCTAAGGGAGCCGGCTGATGACGACAGCATCATGTCGGCGGCGAGGGCCTTGTCGCGCCGCTCCTTCTCGCGCTTCGCGGTGACGGCGAACTCGCGCAGGCTGAATGGGAGGCTGAAGGCCGGCTTGCCAAAGCGGATGTAGTCCTCGCCGTCATCCTCGTAGTCAGGAGTGGCGACCTCTGGAGAGTTGCGCGACGGCGGCGAGCGCGGCGGCGTTGGGGGCCTGACGGGTGGCCGGCCGAGACCCTCGAGGCTGGAAGGACTGACGCTGCGGACAATAGGGGGCGGATGCTTGACGTCCTCGATGCCGGCGTCAAAGTCCATCATGTCGGTGTCCTCCTCCGACTCACCACCGTCGAGCAGCGGCGCCGGCTCGAGGAAGAATGTGAGCGGGTCATCGTCGATAAAGGACAGATCTGGCTCCTCGTCCATTTTTGTGTCCTCAGGCTCGATGCTTCGGTGCAGACGCATTTGCGTAGGTGGCCACGAATCCCGCCACGAACGGGGAGTTGTAGGTGCAGGCATAGTAGTCAGATAATAAAGAGGAATATGAATATCAGATGCAGAAAATCCCGGCGGGAAATTGCTGGTTATATCATTGACAGGACTAGGCAAGAATGACAGTTGGTCCCTGTAGAGGCGATTCCAGGCAAACAACACACGGACACTTGTCGACCGAGTGTAGAAACGAGGGTCGCCGGTCAGGCCGGCTCACTTACGCCTCGCGGGAGATGATAGAAAGAAATAATAGGTCTGCCTTCCTCCTCTTTCAGGTATCCAAGGACGAAAGTCCTACAGTTGCACGACGTGACAGAAGAGCAATCAGAAAAAAAAGAGACGCCTGGACACGAACAGTGGTGACCGGCGGGCACTCCGAGATATATACCAGCCGCCTATCTACACACAACGAGCAGACCGGTTCAATGTCTTTGCGCCCACCACCTGGCCGACTCAAATCCGGCCGGCAGATGCTGGGCTTCTCAGCCATCCCCTAGTCACCGGTGTATGGGCACCCGCGCAATGTGGGCTGCCTTGTTGGAAGATGGTGGTCACTAGCAACCATCTCAGCTCCCAGGGTCTCACTTTGCGGGGCGAAATCAAGTATACGCCCTCCCACGTGCAGGGGCCCAATAAGATGGTGAATCATCCTCAGCTGCGCCCACTGCCAATAGTGGGATAGAGCAGGATGCAGGTGGCTGCATCGAGCAGGATAGCTGAGGCCGCATCACGAGTTGAGGTTGGAAGGGAGACTGGGGAGGGGAGAGTGTGCTTGCTTATCTTTATCACCGACTTCTGGTGAGCACGGTTATTGCGAGCTGCCGAGACAATTAGCTGCAGATCGGAGAGGTCGCCGTGATAAGGCAGGTATTTAGGAGATAGGATACCGCTGTGGGTATGCTTTAAGCGCTGTGCAGCTCCATTTAAGCGGCCCGTGACCGCCTACCGATGTACCAAAACCCACCCGGCCCGCTCACTAAGCTGAGACATGGAGGCAACCATATTGCTATCTTCAAGCAGGCATCTGACTGTATCGCACACCATCACTCTGGCTCAAATATCTCCGAACGACCCGACTGCCCTTTTCGTTCCAGGAGGGTGGTAGGGTCACCGGTTGCTGAGTACGCGTCTTGGGAGAATAGGGTCTTTTTTCGAGATGCTGTGTAACTCTCAACCCGGCTTTCTCCTCGCGGTGCGACTCAAGGATCGACCAAAGTACCTGCATTATGCGTCTCTGTGGCGCATCGAGGCTCAAATGACAGCCTCTCACTGGGTCCGGTGAGCTTCGGTGGGTTGGAAGGTGGCTATGCAATGTGAGCTTCTGCCTCAATGGGAGAGTTCGTGTCTGAGCCTTGAAGCAGGAACAGAAATGTGCATGACTACCCCATGGGATTCAAAATGATCTTGTTTAAATGAGGCCTGCCTAGTCATTTTCTGTGGGAATGCCTTATGACGTAAGTTGCAGCACTGTTGCTTTTTGTCGAGTTCAAATGAGTCACCTAATATCAGTGGTTTCCAAATTCCAAATGCCGGCCCGGTGATGTATGTATCGTGGCAGTGTCAAACGATCGCCATCTGAGTACTTGTAAAGTCATACACCATGCTATGATGGATATGTAACGCCAGTGGGTTAGGTAAGGTGGTCAACACAACGTAGCTGGGATAACCCTGGGAGAATGTTCCCTCCACAGTACATCGGATGATCTGGAATCCGTATTGTAGCTCCTTGTAGTTGCGTAATACATATAATAAAGATATCGTACTCAACTTTCGATGTTTCCGCGTAATCGACTGTATTAGAAATGTAAACTAGCAACCACCACGTCAGCTCGCCTTCTGCTTCACACTTCTCCACTCCATGAACGCACTTCCGACCATTGTCAAACAAGATAACGCCACGGCCAGATACCAAGTCTGAGACAAGCTACGGTCGAAACTAACTAGGACATCGGCTAGATCCTTAGGCCCAATAATAGACTTCAAATCACTCAGACCCATGGCTTCGATGCTAGTTGCGTTCAAAGAGGATGGCAGATTCTCTGCCAAGCGGTTCTGAAATATGCTCTGGGCTGCGGACACGAACACAGCAGGACCAAACTGCTGTGCGAACAAGATAATGGCCAGTCCGATGCTGGCATCTCGTTTGGGAAGCACCACCTGAACAGCAGCTTGGGGGGACTGGTAGCCAATGCCTCCTGCGAAGCCATAGAAGCCTGTCAGAACCAGAACTTTGACCATGGCTGTGCTAACGGTCAGAGTTGTTAGAAGGCCAGCAAAAACGGCCATAAGAATGGACCCAGCGAGCATGTACGGCGTGTAGTATCCCAATATTGAGGTGCCTGCGGACTGGATCAATGTGCCTATCATGTCACCGGCCACTAGCGGAAATTGTAGGTAGCCGCTCTTCGAAGCACTATACTCTCGTACAGTCTGAAAATATGTGGGAAGGTAGTATAGAATGACCATGCTCGCTGAGTTGCAGAATAGCGCATAGATGAATCCGGCCATGACAGATCGATTGCCGAGGATCCTGGGAGGGAGAGTAGCCGCGTCTCCTTTCCGGTACTGCTCAAAAGCAAACATGCCAAGAAGAACGCCAAATGTACCGAACAGTCCAATGACAGTTGGAGAGTTCCAGGCATATCTGGAGCCTGCCCAGCTGAGAGCAAGAAACAAGCTGGTCAGAGACGGTACGAAGAATACGTTGCCGATCAAGTCCAGCTCTGAGATGCGCTGAGCCCATGTAAGGGATTCGCTTTGTGGCTTGACATCTGTGAGGCAGAAGAAGATGCCAATCAATGTCAAAAACCCAAGTGGCAGTCCTATCCAGAAGCACCACTGCCACCCCAAACGGTCCACGATCACCCCTCCGATCATGGGAGCTGCGATGCTAGCAACACTAGCTACAACCACGAGGATACCCGTGTACATTGGACGCTTCCGTAACGGGATACAATAGACAAGCAATGTAAAGCAGCCTGCCTCAATGCCAGCATCGGCAAAACCGCAAATAGCCCTTCCGAAGATGAAAACGGGACTTGTTGGAGCAGCTGCGCAGACAGCGGAACCTGCCATAAAGATGACAACGGTCGAAAAGAAGATTCTCTTCACCGAAAAGATCTTGTATAGCTTGCCAAACATAAACTGAAAGCTGCAGGAGCATAGACGATATGCGGCATAGTACCAACCAATATCCAGGACAGTGTGAAAGTGGTCGGTTAAGGAGGGTACTGCGACAAACACAATCGTGGCATCCATACATGAGAGTATGAGAACCAAGCCAACAGACACAATTATGAGGAAGAGCGATAGGCCTGTAGGATACTGTGATTCATCCTCTGATGTCTCGACGGGGACATTGTCGCTGTCAATTTCTAACAACTCGGTAGGATGTCCGGGAACCACTGCAGGTTCTGGCATCTCTTCACGACGCGCATTGGCGGTCGACGACATGATAGACGTGCAAGAAGGCCTCGTTGTTCCTAACACAGTAGCTGCGCAAGTCGGTGATCTGGTATTATATCAAAGTGAGATGTCCCATCTTATGGCCGCGTGGTCCATGCGTCAGCGTCTAGCTAACCTAGGAAGCTCAACTTTGGAAGGAATTTCATGGGGCACAGATGCAAGGCATCAGTTCAAGATCAAGTTGGCCTCTCTGCACAGGTTCACTGCAAGAGTTCCCGGATTCTGGAGCATATTTATTTTGAGCATGTACTTGTCACATTTGGGCAGGGACAATGTAGTTCATATTTCATGCTTGTTGAACTAGAAAGAAATTGTCCAGAAGAGGTATACAAGAGTTTCGACCGTCCGAGTTTGTTCCAGCCCCTGTTAATTGATACACGTGACCCGCCGACAATGACGTGTGCCTCCAAGCTCCAGCTCTAAACCCAAAGAAAGCTGATGTGTCTCAGCTTCACGACCAATATCGGACCTCCGTCAAACTTCATTTGAGAACCATATTTGACACTCTATATATTGTATCAACAGTGTATGGGTGAAGGACTTCCCCACCCTATCACTGACGTCCAATTGAGCGCTTAGCCTGGCACTTGCTGTTACAAGCAAGCCAAGTGAACGAGTCGTTGACGCTACCCCGTCCGCCATCGTAGGCCTCCAGTATCAGCTCCTACCAAGGAGAGCAGCGAGTTCTTATCCCGCATCGCGTCAAGGCTCTCTTTCTCAGAAGTGGCATTATGGGTACCTTCTCGCTTGAGACTGCGTTGTATCTGCGCATCATTTCCTTCAACATCAGATATGCTACCACCAAACGCGACAAAGGAGAAGAACCTTGGGCAGTCCGCTGTCCGAGAATCTGCAATCAGCTTGCATTCAATGTTGTCGGTCGTTCGTCGTTCATATGCTTGCAGGAAGTCCTGTACTCGCAACTGCTCGACATCCAAGATCATCTAGGTCCGAATTGGGCCCACATTGGAATTGGCCGTGAAGATGGGAAGACGGCCGGAGAGTTCTCCCCCATCTTTTACGATACTAACACCTGGAGGTGTGAGCGTAGCAAGACCTTTTGGCTTAGCGAGACTCCGGAGAAGCCCTCACGAGGGTGGGATGCCGTTCTGGAGAGAATTGTGACTATGGGGTCTTTCCAGCATAAACAAACGGGAGCTAGGGTCATCGTCATGGACACTCATTTCGATCACATTGGTGTTAAAGCTAGGGAGGAAAGCTCAAAGCTAATTCTCAAGCTGGCAGAATCCTGGATCAATGAGGGCGACGATGATGAAAACGGCCCTCGGCCAACTGCTTTCCTCGCTGGCGATTTCAATAGCACTCCGGAAGATAAGGGGTATCGGACGATAACGGGGCCCGAGTCCGGAATGAAGGATATATTCACTCTGGTTCCGAGTCAGGAGCGATATGGCAACGAACATACTTACACCTCTTTCGGTGATCCCGATAAGAAGCCCACGAGGATTGATTTCCTCTTTGCCAAGGACACTCGTGGGGTTTATTTC